CATTTTGAAGATGACGATACGCTGAAGGTGAGATCATTGCTTATCGCTTTTATAACTCTAGAAATATTAACAAACCCTTTTTACATATATTCGCAAGAAAAACTTTTACTAATTTCCCCATTATTTCAGGCCTGTCTGCGCATGTTCCTCGATTTGGACTTTGTTGAACGTTTTCACATTGACTACGAAGTGCTTTGCCGTTGGCTGCTGAGCGTTAAGAAGAATTATCGCAATGTTACTTATCATAATTGGCGACATGCCTTCAATGTGGCTCAAATGATGTTTGCCATACTAACGGTATGTAAAACTGAGCTCATTTGTTTTTGGCAATTATTTGTTATTGTGATGGCGTTTTGTTAGACCTTTCAAACCTATTCAATTACTTGATACTTTTTCATTTAACATTTTATTGTTCTTACTTAACATAATTTTACACTTAAAAAATAACGTTTTCAATTGTTGAACTACCTTTATTTGGTCACACTAATTTTGTGCACTATCTCCTTATCTAAGTATTGCTTTAATTTACTTTTATTTTAAAAAACGGGTGATCCTTACCTTTTGCATGCAGAACTATATAATTTCAACAGTTTTGTTCTTCTACTCAGTTTTCTTCTCTACAACTTTGAGTTTAAAATTGCCAAATTTTATTTTTGCTTTTGATTGATTAATCAAAGATTTCCCATAATGGACAGGCGACGCAGTGGTGGAAAATTTTCGGCGAAATCGAATGCTTGGCATTGATCATTGGTTGCTTGTGTCACGATTTGGATCATCGGGGGACTAATAACTCATTCCAAATCAAGTGAGTGTACCACATGAGCTGCCGTTTTAGCAGCAAATCTTAACTCCTACTTTTCATTTTTCTAGAGCCTCCTCACCATTGGCTCAACTATATTCGACATCCACAATGGAACATCATCATTTCGATCAGTGTTTAATGATTTTGAACAGCCCTGGCAATCAAATATTAGCCAATCTGTCATCTGATGATTACTGTCGGGTTATACGGGTATTGGAGGATGCCATTTTATCAACAGATTTGGCGGTGTATTTTAGGTGAGGTTGAGGTGTTGAGTTAAGCTCCTTTAAATTTTATTGATTTTAATATCTTCTTATTTTTTTTTTTAGAAAACGCGGCCCATTTCTGCAATCCGTACAAGAACAGCCGCTCAGCTATTGGGAGGCTGACGAACCCCGTGCTCTGCTACGTGCTATGAGCATGACTGTCTGTGATTTATCGGCCATTACAAAACCATGGGACATTGAGAAACGTGTGGCCGATTTAGTGAGCTCGGAGTTCTTCGAGCAAGGCGATATGGAGAAACAGGAATTGAATATAATGCCCATTGTAAGTATTATTATTAATTAGTTCTTTGAAAGCTAAACGAAAGCGTAAATCTTAGATCTCTTTATAGGCAAAATTTGTGTTAACCCAGCAGAAAATGTGTAACTGCTTTTTGTGTAACCCAGCAGGGAATCTGGAATTGCTTCTTGGGTGTACAAATGAAAATTTCTGGTCTACATAGTTCAAGACTATTCCGAACTTGTTCGGGCCCGTTTCAGAACTTATTCAGGACCATTTCATAACTAGTTCATGACTATTTGAGAACCATTTCGGGACCAGTGCTGCTCTATTTTGATACTAGTTCAGAACTATGTCAGACAAATTTCTAGACTAGTTCAGAATTGTTTCAGGACATGTTCACAACCTCTTCGACCATTTCGGGGCCTATTTAGAGGGTGTGTAATGAAATCCCGACATATCGAACCCCGAAATATAAAATCCCGAAAGACATATTCCTGACATGACCAAATTCCGACCATACATAATCCAGACAAGTAATCCCGGTAAAAAATAGCAACAGAATATAAAAAAAAATTAACAAGAAATCGCGCAATTTTTATTTTTTTTTAATTATTTTGAACGGCTTACTTGGCCCTTAATAGTCTACAGTCTCAACTAACGGTAAGGAAACTTGATGGTTCGATGGGGTCGAACCAGAAGGAGAGGGGTGTTGGTTGAGTTGGATTAGGTGGGCATGTGATGGGTGGTTAGTGTCACGTTCTTAATCTCCACATGCTGGACATTCATTGAAGATGTTGGAGGACGAGTCGGGCCAGAGCTACGCGGGTATCTCGTGGCAGTTGAAGCTCACTCTTGTCCACAGGTGGGGATTGCACACTGATGACGGCATTCATGCGACTGGAGTCTGTGTAGCTGGTATCGGCCTACCTGTAAATGCTTGTCTGTACAGTCCCAGTTTCAGGACCTCGTCCTTCAGCTCAAGCAAGGGTCTCTTAGGGTGCTCAAGTCTATACCACGCTACTTGGAATTGATTCCTGAGCATGATGTTGTGTCCCTTACTGGGAGAATTTAGGCTTCACCGTAGATGTGATTTTCTGGCAACATCAGAAGGCATACACTGCGTCCCAATTTTTCCCGGCGACCACACATGCACAGCTTAGAACCGGTGGGCCAATTGCCTTGTATGTTGGTTACAACGTTTCTGTGTCTTTGCTCCAAGTAGCGGTCTTAATGAAGACCATTTACCATTCGCTCTTTTGATGCAAAAGTCTGCATGCGAGGCGCATCAAAAACTTTGTATCACACAGCTATTTTAGCCTTGCAGATGTTGCGGATTCGGAACTATTGAACATCTTCATCTACGTTCGAGTGCTTTGTGGAGGATGTGCCTTCTATTAGCTCTTTATCTCTGAGTTATCGAGACTATCCGTACGCGCCCTTCTAATCTAACCAATGAACGCTAGTAAAGAGATACGCTCCATGTCTACTTGTGTGCTGATAATTACTCAATCTCGATTGGTAGTTATTTTAAGTACCTGCCATTGGAAAAATGTCGGCATAGTACCTAGCCCATAAGAGAGTCTGAATTTTTCTTGTATTTTTTCAAAGCCTTCTAGTTTATAATTTCTATTTATGAATTTCCTCGCCTTTGCAGGACATTATGAATCGCGAGAAGGAGGATGAATTGCCCATGATGCAAGTTAACTTCATTGAGTCAATATGCCTGCCAATTTACGAGGTGAGTTTTCCTAGCTTAAAATACTTTTGAGTACTACAACATTTGCGTTTGCTTGCGTCTTTCCTCAGGCTTTTGCAAACCTCTCCGACAAACTGGAGCCACTGGTCGAAGGTGTGCGCGATAACCGCGAGCATTGGATCGAATTGGCGCAACAAGTACAAAATAAAGAGAAAGCAGCAATTAGCAGCACCAATGGTGCCGTCGACACCCCAAAGCAGAATGGCTGCATTTCCGATGAACGCAGCGATGTGACTGATGACTTAGGTACGACGACAACCATTGCCAATTGTGACAGCAACGCCGATGATGGCATATCAACAGGCGCTGAGTGTGAGACAGATGAACAAATCGATGGTAAAAATACAAAAAACAACAGCAACGACGACGACGATGATAACGACGACGAAGATGAGCACTTGTGTGCAGAGGAAGAAGAGGCAGGCATTGAAGCGGATGATGATGATTCCGACATGGAGGCGTCACGTCATTCCAACGGCTGCTTCTCATCTGGTTCGAGCCGATTGAGCACGCCACCACCCACAGGCGAAGACGACAGCGTACCCACCTCACCGGCTAAAATGACGCAGGCCAAGTTAATTGCCGCAAATTTGAATAATTTGAATCAACGGACCCTGAAGTCAACGAGCAACTGCTGTCGCAGCTGTGAGAATGCGCGCTGCAGCAATCATAAGCGGAAGGCCTCCTCGCTCAAGGGAACCAAAGAATTGCAACAACAACTGAGCGCACAAGCACAAAATGGGGGCGGCAGTTCTGGCTATCACACCCGTAGTACGCCCTCGGTGAATATGACGATGACGACGACGACGACTGCAAATACATCAAATGGCGCGCAGCAAAATCACAGCAGCAATACACATCATCATCATCATCATCACCACCACCACCGTCGTCATAGTCACCACCACTACCATCACCATCATCACCTCCACAGTAATCAGCATTCGACGCATAGTGGCAATGGTGGCGGCAGCGGTGGCGGTGGCGGCACGGGTACCGGCAACACATCGAGCGGCGCCGAAAGTGATAGAATACCAAAAATAGTCGGTAAGCTGGGTAATATCGATAGTCTGCAATATCTCGCAGATGGTGGAAATGGCGCTGCTGAGGCGCTACTCCATGCCAATGCTGGTAGTGGTACACCAAATGGCATTGCATTCACACCGAATGGTCATGTCACCTATTTTGCTGCCAGTGATGTGCCCGCGTTGACAACGGCGGCGAGTGTTGTGGCACCGGTGGTAGCGGCGACAGTGACACCGACAATGGCGGCGACGGCGGCGACAAGCGCATGTGATAAATGAAGAGTTTGAGGAGTAGTCTAAGCGAAAGCTTTAGAAGATTTGAGTTCTTTTCGTATAAAAGCTAGCTAACTACAAGTAGTATGTATGTATTATTAGCTGTAATTGAGATACGGACGTTTACATAGACACTTTCGTTGGTTGCTGACGGTCAATAGGTGCATTGCTCTCTGATCGATGACACAAATATAAAATCCTTTTGTATTAGTGAAGTATGTACATTGTACATATGTATGTTGTGAGTCAAGTAGGAGCTAAGTACTGGCTGATGATTTTAACGTATACAAGTAGTACGTAAAACGCTTAAGCGACTTTAATTGCATCGTCTGAATTAGGATGAAGAAGCTTTGAAAAAATGTTGCCGTTACTTTGATTTGAGTTAAAACTTATTAAGATCCTAAATTGAAGCAGAAATCTAGTTACTGTGCATTTTTTTTGTAGGATAAAACCAAATCCATGTTTGATTTTTTACGCGTTTTTTTTTTAAGTTGTAAATGAAAAATTAAAGACTGTTTTCCCACTTTCTGTACTTATAAATGCAAGAAGGAAATTATAACTTATTCAGAATAGCACTGTCAGTAGTAAGCCCATAATTAATTTTTTTGAATGTATTGACGTTTCTTCTGCTAAATTGTTTTAGCCTAAGGGCAGTCTAGAAAACGGCCCTAAACAGGTTTAACATATCGTATCAGTAAATGCCATATTTAATATTCGTTCTTATTTTCTGTAAAGAAATAGGGGGAAAAGGCAATTACAAGTGGTCCAGAATAGGGCCGTTATTAGTCAAGGTTTTCAAAAACTGAGTTCATGTTGCGTGTTTTTCGACTAAGAAATATTTTCTATAGATATCTACGAACTAAAAATTTTGTGGATGAAAAAGTCGAAACAGAAAGTCACACGAAATTACTTCATACCTCTGATTTTGAAGTTCTTAAGTATCAACTCAATTTATAATTTTAAAGAATAATTTAGCATTTAAATTTTTATTTTTTTTGTTTTATTTTTTGATATTTTTTTTTTAATATGAATAAAATAATATCTAAATGATAAAGTAGCACTTTTAAAAAGCATAAAAAATAATAAATTACAACAAAAAGAAACCACCAAAATTTACCAAAATTTTTTTTTTAGTAGAGGAGCTCTCTTCAAACATTTTTCCCTGTTATCCTCAAAGCGTTAATGTCAGACTTACTACTTTTTTTGTATCACAACCGTTATGAGCAAATTAGTGGCTAAAAATATAAAATTTTTCTAAATTTCTATTGATAGTCATAAAAAAAGAAATTATTTCGTTTCTTGTTTTGCAACCCACTGTTAGTATTATTATTAGTGCTTAGTCGCTAACTGAGCCACATTTAAGTTAATTCTTGCACTACTATTAAAAACGAACTGCGCATGCGCAATCGTTTTTTTTTTAAATTATGCCACTCTGCTTCATAAACTATTTTTCCCTTCTAACACTAAGCAGACGATGCAATTTTTAAAGCCACTTGCCCACTAAGAGCAACAAAAAGGAAGTCAGATTAAGGAAAATTGTATAAGAATTATTACATAGAAAAAAAATTAAAACAAAGTTCAGGTGAAAAAAATCAAAACTGAGTAAATAAATATGTAAGCTTAGTTTAGCAATTTTACTTATATAAATATGTAGTTGTGAGTTTTTGTATGTGTTGTATATATAAATAAAATTCTTTTGCTAGTAATATATTTATGAACATAAATATGTGCGTGTAAATTTAGTTAATGTGAGTTTTTAAGAATATTTCCGTTTTAATTTTCAAATGTCTGTGTATTTTTGTATATGAAATGTGTAGTGTTTAGATTAAACATTTTTACTGTGTATAAGAAATATATATGTATGTATGTAGTTCATAGTTGAAAATATATATGCAGTAAGTTAAGCGTATTAGTTCAATTTCTTGCATAGTTTTAGTGAGTTAGGTGAGTTTTGTGTACCAAAAATTATGTGTAAATAAATTCAAATATGCATATGTGTGTACATAAGTATGTATATAAAGCATGCAAATTAAGAACGCAACATATAGACGATACAGAGTTAATTGAATTATAAACTAAAAAATTTAAAGTAGAAGAAAAGCAGAGTAAGAGAAAAATAATGCTAAAGTTGTATGTAATTTCGAAATAACAAAGAAAAAAAGTTCGAAGAAACATTTTTTTTAAAGAAATTAAACACAACTCAAATTTAAATAATTAAAATGTGTAAAAAAATTTAAATCTAAAAAATTTTAAATTTAAAACATGTAAAACTAAAAAGTTTAAAATCTAAAAAACACAACTCAAACTTAAAATATTTTAAATTAAATAATTTAAATTTCAAAAACTTAAATATGTAAATATCAGCTTTGCAAACCTTCTTTATTCAATGTTGTAATTTTTTTTGTTTAGATGTATTCAATCTCAAACAATTTGCAAAAATCTGGAGATTACTGAAGTACTGAAAATTTTACTAAGCACTCAAAATTTGTTTCGAACATTTTTCATTCGGGCCTTAACGCAAATTCCATGCCAAAAATTACAAAGCAAAACAAAGAATTATAAAGCAAAACAAAGCAATTGTAAACCAGAAATAAAATAATTTGTTTAAATTTTCAATTTGTTTTTATTTTGAATGTTAAATTATGGAATTTGGCGACAAGGCTGAGTATGTTTCTAGCTTTCCAGTTTATGGTTGAAAGAAAATTCCCAAAATATTTTTATTTTTCAGTCTATAACTTAAAAAAAAAATTAAGAGAAAATTACAAAAATAATCTAGTGATTTAATTTTTAAGCGTTTACGGTATGGCATAGCACTTGCACATATTCCCACCCACGCACACGCTCACATACACACAAAAATTGTAAATAATACGTTTAATTAGTCGTCACATAGATATCATTTACCTGTGCATTTGAAATCCTATATTTTAACAATTTCGAATTTAATTAATTTTATAACCCGTAGTAAGAGTTACGAATTAGGAGTAAAATAAAAAGTAGTTAAAATTTTAAATAAAATGTGTAGTTTGTAGTTTCAAATGGTGGGCAAAGAAATCGCAGCTACATAGAAGAATGTGCTTTCAATACACTAACTGCTAAATTCTATAAAAAAAAATTTGTACAACAGCTGCTAATAAATAGGCTTGAACGTGTTGAGTTGCTACAGTATGAATTGATTAATGCAGAGTATTTAGTTGCATTGTATAACATAAGGAAAGTGAAAATAAAAAAATGTTTAAAAACGAATTGCTAGTTGGAAAATACAAAAATAAAGCATAAACTACAATTAGAAAATGTATCTATTATAAAAGCAAATAAAAAGAAGTTCTATTGCAAATATATTTATGTAAGTAGTTGTGAATACAGTGACCGACAAAGTGATGTTGATAAATTTTGACTAATTATTATTATTTTTTTTAATTATATTTTTTATTTTATAAAAATATAGTTCATTCTATAACCAAACCCTATAAATCCAAATTTCAAATTCCATACTTCGAGCGTGTGTGAAGAGGTAACAAAGTTTGCGGCGGGTAAATTTTTGACAAGTATGAGGTGAATAAAATATCACAAGGGGCGTGTGAGAATCGGTATCAAAGTTATATGGGAAAAGTTGTTGAATAATATTTTTACTATGGTGAGACAGTTTTGCCAATCTGCTGTGTGAAATTAAATATTTTTTACAGCAGTAAATTTTTGATAACCGCAGATTTATGCGGAAGAAAATATTACAAATTGAAGTGAAAGTAATATTTTAAAAAAGACACCTACCATCGTTGATTGCAATTCATAGATTTAAGCTTTTAGTTAGGGAAAAATTACGCACATAAACAATCTTTGCGATTGTCAAAGTTTTCTATGTATTTGTCAAAAATTTCACTAGCATCATGAGCTACTGAAATTTTATTCACGTTATAGTTGTCAAAAATTTACTCGCCGCAAATTTTGTTACTGATTCACACACGCTCTAGCTCGTGAGGCTAGTGAAATTTTTGTTACCGATTCACATACCGATTCTTTGCAAAAATTTAAAAAATAATAATTACGAAGTTTTATAAAAAATTTACACTTTTTATTCAAAAATTTAAAAATTCGAATTTTTGGGGTATGTAGTTCCCTATCCCATTCGATTGTATGTAGAACCATAAGGTGTGTGTTTGAATTAGATAGAAAAACCATTGACTTTTGGGATTTTTTTTATATCTTTTGAAAATGTACAATAGCGTTAGCCACCTTAAACCTCCACTTTATTAAGCATGCCCAAAAATTTTGAATAAATGGTGTGGAATTTTGTTGAAGCTTTTAATTTTTTTACAAAGTTCGAGGCGTGCATCATATAGTTTTTGTTATAGAATGAACTATAAAAAAAAAATAATAGTTTAAAAAAATTAAAAAAAAAAAAAAATAAAATCCAAACATATGAATAAAGGGTGACCTTATCATTATGTCGCACACTATATTCTAGCAGTCTGTTTTGATTATTTATTTACGCGAATAAAACGAAGGATTAGGATAAATAAAACTAATAAACAGTTTTTAGTGTCATAAAAAAAAATGGCATAAAATAAATAATCACCTAAATTCATAATAAATAAAAAAAAGACTTAAATGATTTATAAATGCAAAATTTGTATAAAAATGTAACTTTTAAAGCTCTTTAATCCTACTTTTTTTATTTATGAAAAAGGTCAAATGCCTTCTGCAGAGAAATAGCTAAAAACTATAAAATGATTTTCTATTTCATCAGTATTTGGATATGATAATAAATTTCTCCAAAATTCATTGCGTCAATTCAAATAAACAAATGTACACCTTTGTATTCACAAATATGTATGTACATGCATATGTCGGATTTCTATGAAACTCACAGATCCACTTCTGTATCTCTGCTTTGATCTAAATACATAAGAAATAGTTAAGCACATGATTTCTCACTACTAAAATCATACTTATAAAAAGAAACTATGAAACCTTATGAAACATTTATGCATCTTTAATATGTATATATTTATGTAGGTTTGTCTTTAGATTTTCTTGTGTAGTTTGAGTGCGCTAAATATGCGAAAAATTATGTCATAGCAATTATCTAAGTTTTAATAAAATAATTTATATGAAAAGCAGATTGAAAAAAAACAAAACAAAAAAGAAACGAAATAAAAAAGTTTAATTCAAAAATTAAAACTTTAATTAAAGTAGTTTGATTTTATAATATTAATATCTTCTTATATTTCCTATATG